TGTAGTGCAAGTGAGATATTTGTAAGGAAGGAAGAAAATACCTTTCATGCTGTTTTAAGAAACCTAATGTTTAAATTCATGTGCCAGCTTAATGGGTCACACAATTAAATAATATTGGGCTTAACTAACATACAGCTAAGCGCTACATGCTACCAATCCTGTATGTGGAAACACTTGTATAATTGTCTCCTGGTAGAACAATGATTTTCTTTTTAAATAATTGTACACTTTTCATTTTTCTAACCATGATTTACTATGGTATTTTTTTTATGTGTATTTATGCGTGTGTATATATATGTATGTGCATTTGTGGATGTACTGGTGTGGGTAAGATTTGTACCTTGAGTCTGTAATAAAGTTTTTGATTGATTGATTGATTGATTGATACGAAATATCAGTAAGGTATGAAGGTATGAAAAAACAGGTATCGCCCAAGCCTAAAAGAAAGGAGTAACAATGATAAGTATGTTGTTTGACAGATCAAAAGGTCATGAGGACATTTATTTGGCCCTACTCCCAGGACTACAGTGAGGGAGTGGTGGGGTGAAATCTTATGACATTAAATGTGTGGGCAGTCTTCCTCTGAGCCTAATCATTACTTCATAAAGACTCAAGCTTTCTGATAAAAGTATGTTTGGCAGGAATGATTTTAATATAATTTTAGGGCAATTTCAACAACATGAGAAGACCAACTTTTGTCTTTGTTAGCAGAAAAATTGATGGTGTAATAACTTTAAAATAATAAAATAATGTAACAATACAATAGAATGAAAATGTTATTTACTAGTTATTATTTTTATGTTGAATTCAATTATTGTAAACGACAAAAGAAACTGCTCTGTGATAGCGTGAGAAAAGAGAATACACACACGCGGGTTTAATCAGATCTGCATAGCTGTTTATTAAATATGACAAAATATGATGACAGTAAACTGTCTTGTTTAGGTTTCACTTCCTGATTCCTGCAGCAAGGTTGTTTTTCTCATACAAGAACCTGTTTTTTTCTCACTAAGGGCCCTATCTTGCACCCGGTGTTATTGCTTGTTTCCAACGGACGCGGCTGTCATTTTCACGCCAGGCGCCCACGTTGTTTAAATAGCAAATGCACTTGCGCCCATCTGTACGCCCAGGGTTGGGAGGATTACTTTAAAATTGTAATCCAGTACAATTACTAATTACTTATTTAACTTACTTAATTTTCTTATCAGTAATGTAATCCGTAGTATCACAAAATAACAGTAAAGCAACCTGATTACTTTTAGATACTTTTGGATTACTTTAATACCAAATACGCTGATAAAGACAAGAAAGGATCAAAGATGCCTTGTCTGCTCAGTGGATTTTTACAGAAACATACAATTATGTGGAGCGGGTGATTAAAACTGCCCAGAAGACCACTGGTGCCCATCTCCCGAGCATCAGTGACATCGGTGAGGTGAGGTGCCTGCAGAGCCCACAGGATACTAAAGGACAGTACCCACCCAGCCACAGCCTGTTCACCCTGCTGCCTTCTGGGAAGAGATATAGAAGTTTCTGCTGCCGCACACCAGACTGCAGAGCAATTTTTTTAAGCTATCAGGCTCTTAAAATCTACATCATCCTAAACCTTGCACTGGGCCTATAAGTCATTTGGCTTTTTAGAGTGTGTCATTTCCTGGAAAACCTCAATCAATCCTCCTGCACTCGGGGGGGCTGTACTAATTTAGTGACCAATGAAAACCTTTCTTAATTTTCTTTGACTCTGCTGAAAATTAGTGTTTCTGGGACCGGGCCCCACAGATTACTGAACAAAAAACACAACTTTATTCACTGTCAACACCAATCAGCTACTGGCTACATGACAATCAACGTCTGCCACAAATCCCTCACTAGCTTTGTGTTTTTACAGGAAACAGGTAAATAGCAAATAGCACTCCGCTTTCTGTTTCATTGAAACTTTGTGATTAAAGTAATGTGTACTCCCCAGTTTTACAGAATGTAGGCCCTGCCTGTCTGAATTGGAGTCTTGTTTTTCTGTACTGTACTGAACCGTTACTTTATTTTTGTATCCTGATTATGTAACGCCATTATATGTAATTGGTTACTTCCCAAACCTGTGTACACACATAGGAGTGTTGGCCTTAAAATGGGGTGTGGCCGGGCAAATTTGTGGCGCATTGCGATCTTGAGGCAGCAGAAAGAAATTTTGCCATTGACAAAAAAAACAAAATAACAGGTCTAAAGTCAATGATGCAGTGTTTCACTGTTTGTTGTTATTTTAGGGGTGTGTTACTCTGGACACGCTGACTGAATCGGTCCGATCTGATGTTAATTCATGTTCTGTGTTCTTCTAAACATACACAAGGTGTCACATAGTTCAGGTTCATACAGTGAAGCTGGAGTAAAGCAGCTGTCCTCCGGATCAAACCTGAGCTCCAGCAGATAGTTTAAATGATTTCAGAAGCTAAAAGTTGAATTCTCTGCTCTGTGGAGAGTTTCCTCTGTCTTGTAATTTCACGTTTATAACCTTTCTCATTACCCAAATTTGTGGTGCAGTGGTTAGCACTGTCGCCTTTCAGCAAGAAGGTCGTGTGTTTGAACCTTGGTGTTTCCGGGCCTTTCTGTGTGGAGTTTGTGTTCTCCCCGTGTCTGTGTGGGTTTGTCAAGGAAAATGTGTCCTTCCCGAAGAATACGGAGTCAAATAGATGTGATGAATCATTCTTTATGTAACGCGGCCACGGAGAGAAAGCACGGTTTCTCTCCCGAAATTGATTCTCCCTTTCCTTATATACACTGCAGTACAAGTTGAGACAAATGGTTGACAAGGAAACAAATGGCAGATCACATCTAGAGTATTAGCATACACTCAAAAGCTCTTCCTGGGCTGATAAAAGAATGCAAATGTATGTGGCATCAGAGTTGTCCCCTTAGTCGAGTCGAGGAGGAGAAGCGGGGAGAGAGGAGTCGATAAAATAGGTGCTTAACGAAATCAGATGTCCTTTCCTCGGAGCCGTCATTTTAAAGCAACGTCAATTAAATATGACCTGTTGCACAGCTGCATCATCTGTCCACTGTTAGACCTGTGATCTCTGTCAGAGCAGCAGAGCAGCTTTTGGCACTAAAGGCGACAGATCATATCTTCACCATCCAGAAACATGTCTGATAACATTATAACACATAGAAAAATCCAATAAACATTATAGCATCTGTTGAAAACGGCCGCAGATTACTGTAGGCAACTTTCATGCACTACCCAGAAATACAGTTGCTTTTTGGGGGGGTGCGCCTTTTGCCTGTAATTAGGAGATCATTTCAGCTCTCAGCTTGATGAGGTGAGCGTTTCATCATCAGTCCCTGTAAGAAATCACACTGTAACATTTATCTCATATAGCCCCAATTAAAACTGTCATCACAGGACTCTGCAGTTGGAGTGACGTGTAGACTACATGGGTTTATTATTATAACATGAAACACAGCCTGGTTGATATCACAGCCTAATAATTTGACTTACGTTGAGTGCACTCGTTTTGTGACGATAATAGAAGCTGAATTGGTGTGATGCACGGATCGATTTCATCACATTAGGCTAATTACTGTTATTGCATTGTAGCTCTTTGCTCATGTACAGCCTAGCCTGTATATAGGCAACATAAACAAGAACCCATACCCTAAACTCAACAGGAAGTGCAATTTTAACCCATTTTTCACAGTTCACAGGGTGCATACTTTAACCTACTCCCCCACAGAATTAATGCGATTAACTTGCTTTTTCTACTGTGCATTCTAAAGGCACTGACAATGAAAAGCTGCACTATCTGTGGGTTTTCAGCGATGGGTGTGTCCGCAACACGGTGTCAAAGATTGACGGTTAGCCATCAAAGCTATTATAACTTCACTGTACATGCTCACATCTGTACCAAACTTTACATGATTGATTACGGTCCCGTCCTGAAAACATCTACGTCATAGCGCCACCCATTCGTAACAGGAAGATTTTTGTTTTGTTTTTCATTTTTGGACATAACCTGCTATAGTACATTTCTTTACAAAAAGACAGCAACAGGTGAATAAAGCTGTACTGAAAAGAATGTAGCTTAATGAGGAGTTTAGATGGTGATTTTGATGTTTCTCTCCATGATAATTCTGGGTTGTTAATCTCCCATGCTTTTTCTACATGAAAGTTTCACATGGTTTGCCTCAATTACAATATTTTTACTGTGTATATGTAGATATGAGTCAATACTGTGACCCTTGACGAGCAATGCAACATTGGAAAGTATAAAAAGTCAAGCAACATAAATAAACAACACATCACAGCAATGAGAGGCAAAATGATAACACATGTTTAAAATATATAACTTGTTATTTATGCTGAAAAACCTAAAAAATAAGACTACTAGCAGTTGACAACACTCCTGCCGAAGAGGGCCCCTGAGAGGAGATGACACAACCGACCCCAGGCCCAAGGACACGCCACCCCTCTCTGATATGAGCAGAAGCTCAAGGCCCGAGGCCCCAGGACCCCGGATCCAGAGCAAGCCCCCCATGCCCAACCCAAGGCAGAATGCTTTCAGCACTGTCAGGGCAGTATGATGAATGTAGGGATGGTGTGTGAAAAAATGCATGTTCATGTTCATGTTCATGTTCATGTTCATGTTATGCAGACTGGGTCCAAGGTGGGCCCTGGGAGGTCACAAACTCCAAATCCCCTTCCCGCACCCCCCCTGCTTGCTCCACTAAAGCAACTTGGGTTGAGTTAAGAAGGAAATTCATGATGTAATAACTTTAAAATAATCAAATTATGTAACAATACAACAGAATAAAAATGTTTTTGTATTATATACATTTTTTGTAAATGACAAAAGACACTGCTGTGTGTTATGTAACATGAGACAAAGGAGGAGACGCACACAGCACAGGTCAGGGTTGACCAGATCTGCAAACCTGCCCATCAATGCATAAGAAGAATATAATGACTGTCAGGTTTAGCTTTTACTTCCTGACTCCAGCTGCATAGTTGTCATTGTTGTACAACAGCCTGTTTTTCTGCACTGAATCTTAAACACACCCTTTTCTTCAGTATTTAATAAGACAACCGATAAACATCAAACAAGTACTGAGCTTCTGTACAAGCACAGTGTAACTGACAGTCAGAGGCGTCTGACATCTTGTATTTTTAAGCAGAAGGAGGTTAAAGAGACACTGGTAAGTAGAATCAATAACCATACCTTATTCTGCAGGGAAGGTTCTTGCTAATACTGACAACATATTCACATATAACCTCAAGTGGAGTTGATTTACAGATCTTAGTGAGAATTGATTAACATGTTTGTTTTCAAATGTGTTTTTTTCAAAGGTCTAACTCATGGATTATGGGGTGATCATCATTGTGCTCACAGGTTGGTGCCTCATTTTTGATTTTTCTGCTGTTTGTCTGTGCTAGATAACAAGCTCTGATGATATCTGGCTTACTGTCAAGGTGGACAGCAGACAAGCCAGTTTCTGATAATCCAAAAGATTCCTCTTTTTTGCCCCCATCCATCCCACAAGATGGCCAATCAACAACAATGATCTTTCGAATTAAGGGGAAAATCCAGGGTAAACACTTTGATAAGTAATATTGGTCAGAGCAAGCAATGCTATTTTAATTAAATATATGAATACATGATTCTGCAGATGCTCATGTCTAAACAAAGGCAGCATTATCTAATCAATGTCAGGCTCAGAGAGTTATAAGGGCAGAATTAATTCAATTAGGGTCCCTCTCCTCTGGGATTGAGTCATTGTTCTTTATTATGATAGAATCAGCATATTGTAGGTTATTAAGCATACCTCACTCAGTTGTGCATATGCAGTAAGTAATTTTGCAACAAACTGAGATAAACAGTACAATGTATAAGAAAATTATTATTAAAAATTTTTAAAAAATTGTTAATAGTTGAGTAGGTTTTAATTTTTATTGTCAGTAAACGCATAATCTGAGGTAGGCTGAAACTTAATCTGACTCAAACTGATAGACAAAGTTTTAAAGTGGTCATATTATGCTCATTTTCAGGTTCATGATTTTATTTAGAGGTTGTACCAGAACAGGTTTACATGATTTAATTTTCAAAAAACACCATATTTTTGCCATACTGCACATTGCTGCAGCTCCTCTTTTCACCCAATGTGTTGAACGCTCCATTTTAGCTATGGAGTGAAGCATCTCACTTCTAAAAGATCTTTGTTGGGAGTTGCACATGCACAGTATGTAGTATCTAGTAGGACTACTAGCCAATCAGAAGTAAATTAGTAGTAGTAAACACGGCTTCGGTTCAGCTGTATATGTTCCTCTGACCAGCTTAGCAAAATGGACTGGAGCAAGAGTTTCAGAGTGGTGAGTTATTAATTTGTAACAAATGTATCTTTCATTCATAAAGTTTTAACTGAGCTCTGTCTCTACATAACAGTAACAATTTTATGACCATTGAGTGCCTGGAGGGTTGCTAGTGTTTGGAAAAGACGTCTTGTCACTGTGTGCCGCAGCTCAGTGTGTTTTTCCACCTGCGTTTTTGAGAGCGTGTCTGACTAGTTGCTAGGCGAGCATTATGACGCGTGATTTTCGTGTGTCATCACAAAAAAGCGGAAGAAAAGGCTAGACCACAAACGAGCTGTTTTCAGGCAGTTCAGAGCAGAGTTTTCTGTGGGAGATGGGAACTAACTTTGGGCTTTTTCACTTTGTGAACCTATTACATGCACAAAAAAGGTATATAACTCAATAAAGGAGAGGGGAAAAGCCAAAAAGCATAAAATGACCTCTTTAAGCCACAAAACATTAAATTTGGCTTGGCTTTTTGGTTCAATTTCAGAGGATTTTTAATTGTTTCCATGCTTTGTAGTCATGATACATTGTATGCTGCAAGCATTGAAAAATCTCACCAACGAGGAAAATGTATTGTAAAACTCAACACAGTACAGCTGAACCCACCCGGTGTATAGTGCCTCTTCGTGTTCACTGTAAAAGAGTCTTCATGCTTTATAAAAATAAAAGTAATTAAAAACTGATTTTGCTTTGTTTTAGGAGCACTGGTCAATGTTGCCTCTGCCCAAACTCGTCAGTACTACTTTGAGAGTACACCACTGAACTGGACTGAAGCTCAGAGCTTCTGCAGACAGGTCTACACTGACCTGGCCACCATAGAAAACACAACTGATGTCAGTGCTGTACTCAGGACCACACCAAGCTACACAGGCAAGTTCTCAATATTGGAGTCATTTACTGTGTATGTGTATGTATGTAACATAAGCATAATATATATATATATAATCCTATACACACACAACAGCCAGGCAACAACCAAGTTTTTGATGAGGTTACTAAATATTAGATAAAATAATAAAATATTGTACTGTGGAATCTGAAAGAGCAACAATGAAAAATAGAGGAGACACATCATTTAAGGGATGTTTAGTAAAATTATTCACATTTTAGGTCAATTCAGCAACTATTTTAATTACAGCTGTTGTATAATGAACATCTGTTTGTACAGGCAAGGCTTGGATAGGTCTATATGGTGACAACTGGAGATGGTCCCTGAGTGACAGCAGCTTCTATGGTGAAGGAGAGACAGAGTTTAGAAACTGGGCTCCTGGATATCCCTACAATCCTTATGGACAACAGAACTGTGTGCTGCTTCGCAGTCAGTACTATTACACTGGGATGTGGCAATCCTACTTTTGCACCTACCAATTACGCTTTGTGTGCTACAATGGTGAGTTCCTTATTTAAAAACATCTCACCTCTTGTATCAAGGTGACATGAGCAATATTTTATCTACTGAATCAAGTTCTTCTAATATTTGGATGTAATTTCTTTCATTTACATTTACTCATTTGTCAGATGCTTTTGTCTAAAGTGACTTACATTTGAGGAACAACAGTAGGAGATACATGGGTGACAATGGATACTAGTGAGAGCAGCAATAACTAGAAAATTGCATTTCCTACGGAAAGTGCGTGTAAATGCTGAAGCTGAAATTAATTTTCAGAACACTGTGTCAGAAAACTATAACTAAAAAAAAAATCAGAAAGTGTAATAATGCTGAAAGCTAAACTGAAATTACATAACATTGCAAAATCAAATGCTGAAAGAAGCCAAAATGCACTGAAAAGCTGAACGCCTCTTGTTTTACTATCAGGAAAGTATATTAATAAGAAAACAATATGGAAGTATAACAATGCTGAAAGCTGAACTGAACTTGCAAAACACTGTGGAAAATTTACAAGAGCTGAAATTAAGTATCTTTTCTTAAGAAGCTATGTGTCACAACCTGCAATGAAAAGTTGTGTGTTGTTTGTGTAGACCCTGCAGGGATACATCTAGGCAAGAACGTGTTTCTCCTTACTGGATGGTTGGGCTTTATTTTCAAAGAATAGGTCCATCCCTACTTTCCTGTAAACATATAGTAACCATAAGGGTCTTTTATTTTGGAAAATCAGTCTCACCTTATCTTTCCTGTTAAGATGCAGTAACTGTCTGAGGCTTTAATTTGGAAGAAATTAGATCCTTAAATCCCTGTTTAGAAGGAGAGGATGGTGCAGTGGAGAAGACATATGCCTTTGGTGTGGGAGACCTGGGTTTAATTCCCATTGCAACACATTTGCCAATGTGTCCCTGAGAAAGACACTTAACCCCTTGTTGCAACCTCTGACACATATAGCAAATGTGAGTGACTTTGAATAAAAGCGTCAGCTTCATGACTGACAATTTATTTATTTATAAGATAGCCTACAGTTACTGCCTGCAGACTGTTTGAAGCCTTATTTTGGAAGGAATTAGGTCCATACTGAGTTTGAGTTGGTATTGAAACTGTTTCTCTTCTGAAATGGTTTCAGGAGCAGTAGAAATGAAGTGGAAGGGGAGACAGACACACAGACGGAGATACAGGCAGTCAGACAGAGACAAACAGACAGAGAGAGACAGACAGGAACATAGAGAGACAGGAACAGAGAGGGAGACGGACAGACAGATAGACAGACAGTAGCTGTAGCAGTACTGTCAGTAAAAATCCCACCAAAGAAGATAAAACCAGTTTGTGTGTTTGTATTTGTGTATATTCATGTATTAGAAAGCACCTTAACCTCCTGCAGAGATTCTATCAGACCTGGGCCTGACAATAAATACAGCAAAGACTAAAATAAGGATTTTCAAACAATCCAGAAATCAGGTTAACACACAATTACAACTCCTTCTGACAGGATGAATTAGTTAAATACATCCCCATACGTTACCTCTGGCCACGTTTCTTATCAGCTACTCATTTTAACAATGACAATGGATGGGACATGAGACAATCCGATCGTATGTGGTTTTCTCCATTCTCCCAATTTAATTTCGACATTTTGATTTTGATTTTGAAGTATAGCGAGCAACATATAATGTTCTAACTAACAAACTAGCTACTGGATTTTTCATGTCAGTTTAGTGGAAGTCAGATGACAAAATGCGGAAGAGCGAAACATAAAAAGTGGGCGGGGCGGGAAATTAAGTGAATAAGCCCATGTGAGGACCAGAACAAGATTTACTACATTTCAGGTTTAAGATGATGCACGAAGAATTAAAACTGTGGTAAAACCAACGACTTAAAGAAAAAATTGATAAAAATGGCTTCTCAAGGCTGTTACTATCTGTGTAACATCAATGATAGAGTGTAACAGATTTTTCTTTATTCTCTCTGCTGTGAACTGACAGGAAATAAAATGAAACCTTCTTTTCTCCTTTTCTCCTCCTCTGACCTTGCTCTCTCTGTGTGTCTGTGTGTAATGTGTTTGTCAGTGTATTAATGTGTGTCTGTACGTCTCAGTATAATGAAGTCCAAAGCAGCAGAATGCATTTCTGAACTAGCTGGTATTTCGTTGTATGGATAAAGTTAAAAAAGTGACCTTTTCAGCTAGTTAAAAATTGGTACATTCTGCAGCTGACAAGAAATTTCAATGAGAATTTATAATGGTTGGCAGTGGAGGAATTGCCGGTCACTCTTGACCTTGAGAAGGGCACAGAGCCAAATCTCCGATGTCCGATGAAAAGTCCGATGGATTTAGAAAGCCCATGTGAGGAACCAGAACAAGATTGTCTACATTTCTGGTGTAAAATGATGCATGAAGAGTGTGTTCAAGATTCAAGATTGTGGTCAAGTCAGTGAGTCAGTTACATAAGATTGTGGTTTCCAATGGCTGCTCTGGATGAGCATCACTCTCTAGTGATGTCACGCACCTTAACTCATCTATGGCAAGAGCTATTAGCACATTAAACATCAATGGGGTAAATACCTGTGGAAAGAAGTAAGAGTATACGAGTAGTGCAATCAATACAAGAGAATTGTAATGAGATCAAAGAAGAAGAGCACAGGATGTGTATGTTAGAGGTGTTACATTGCATACATTGTAGCAAAGTCAGTATTGTTTACAAGTCCATCTTCACAGTTTTAATAACTTCTCTTCATCAATATATTTCCAGGTTCAGTAAATGACACATCCTCTTTTGTAAAGGTCAACAGAACTTTGAATTGGACCGAAGCTCAGAGATACTGCAGGGAGAATTACGTCGATCTAGCCAGGTACAGTGTGCACTGATGAAGACTCCAACACATACAATAGTTCAGTACTGAACCAACTACTTAACAACTACTATCTGTTCTGTGATGAAATCCAGCTTATTCAGTATTCTCACACTTGATTAAATTCCACATGGATTGAAAAATCTGTCAAATAGTTTTATTTGATTCTTTTTGTTGTTTGAATCCTTCCCCTTCTGTGTTTGTTCATTTGTTGTTATTATTTTTTAATTGCTTTGCTTCTAAGTAAAACATTTTCAAGTGTAAGGCCCTTGGGGCTAAGCCACGTAGTATGATGATCATTGTGATGATTACAAGCAGGATTGACAGAAAAATAGCACCAATAGGATACCTTAATTGTAAGGTGATTATGTTGCACTGATTTTGAGATGTTTACCAACCTCATCGGTAAATAATCACATATAATTGTAACCGAAGCAAGTGGTGAGGGTTCAAATCCCCAAACAGCTAATTGTTGCCATAGGTTCCCCAAGTACAGAGACATGGTACAGAGTTTCCACTGAAAGGGTGATTGATTAAACATCAATATTAAAAATCAGATTTTGGGCACTTCTATTCATTATACAAGACTCAAGTAATACTAAACAGGACAAGATGTTTATGCCAACGGTGCCATGGATGCCAAAGGATAAAAGCAAAACTGTTGACACACCTGAGCATCTACATATGCCAGACATGCAATACCTAAGGGCTAACAGGTGATACACTGGTGCACCGCCACCTAACACAGTAAATTACACACATTAAACAAAACCACACAATAGGCAGAGTTGAACGTGTGCACACAGCTCTAACAGACGCACCATCACATGCAGTAAAGGGGAAACTGCATTGCAGAACTACTAGGTAGCATCTTTCTACCTCAGGGTATCAACTTCCAATGCCATCCCTGCGGTGAACTCTCGCATTTAAGCAGTTCCTGCAGTCCACAGGGTCTGGGCGACAGGTGTAAAATACCTGTAATAAAAACTGTAAAAAACAACAAAAAAAGGAGTTCACAAAAGTTAACAAAGTCAGCCACAATGCATACCTTCCAGGAGACTAACCTGCTGCTAAGCCACACTATAATCAAGGCTACGTTCACACCTCATGGCCGATGTGCTAGCAGGTAGGGTTAGCCTCCTTTGTGTTGCAACACTAAAGCAAACTGCAGCGCAAAATCGCCGTTTTGCGTACAATAGCCATGGTTTTGTCAAAGCGTGTATGATGCCTGAGATGAGAATGGGTTGCATTTTAATCTCCGAATTCCACTACATCTTTGCTCCATTGATCTTCTGGTTTAACACTTCCCCGTATCAAGTGTTTCACTGGCCAATATCAATTGTTTCAATTGGTCAAATGGTGAGTCTGCAGTGATATTCAGTGTCTTGCTATAACTTGTACAATTGCACAACATTTTCTTTTTTGCTCAGTGTTGGATCAGATTTTACCAAAGTAATTGACAACACACCCAAAATCAGTAGAATGATGTGTGAGTTTTTTCAGAATTTTCTCAACATTTTGACTGTTGTAAGCGTTTTAAGTTTAAACTGAAAAAAATATCCGGATGTGGAGCATGTGACGTCACTACCTAAACTTGTGAGAAGGTGTGTGGAAGCAGCCTCTCACCACTAGCTCAGTCACAAAGTCACCTACTCTGGAGATTTTGAAGTTCCAGGGTTAACAATCTCTGATCTCAAGGTCATGCTGTAAAAATCAAGTGTGCGTTTCCTCAGTTATCTCTAAGGCCCAATTCTTTCATCACTTTAATCTCTTAAGTCAAATTATGGGCAGAACTGATATACTGTATAGAGCATATGGCGGTCAGCTGAAATGATGATAAATAATAATATAAACCGAGGCTCAGTTATGTAATTTTCTCGAGGCTGTTACAGGGGAACTTGTGGGTTCTAATAATTTTTATTAATATAAAGGGAAAGGCAAAATTCAGGTGGTGTATTGCGCACTTTTAAATTTAAATACACAAAAGTGCAGTAACGTGTTTTATTAACACTTTAAACAAATAAAAGTAAATAAATTTGGA